TCCCGAATATGCTCAGCATGTGCGCTAAGGAATATTGCAATTGGTATATACTTATCATATGCTATACATTTACTGAAAAGAACATTCCTAAAATATATATAGTAAGCACATGCTAAGCATATAACTTAAAGAATGTCCTTTAAGGAACACTGAGCGCATATGCTCAGCATGTGAATGTTCTTTCAATGCTATGTGGGTATGTACTTACATAAAAGGTACAAAAGTGTACGTCTTATGTACGTTCTGAATAGGTCATATGACGTACGGACGTGAATATGACATAAAATGGACGTTTTAAGTATGTATAGTGTGTTTGCTGGGGTCTGATTTTGCCTTTTTGGTCTTGTATGTGTAGCTCGTTTGTAGTGTGGTGTGAGGTTGAGTTTTCTTCTATTTTTGTTTTTTTTTACCAAGTCAAGTGACACGGGAACCATTTTGTTTTGATTGCAGTAACGCCAGCAACGTGTTTAGCTTTGTTTTTTGTGTATAAGGTCTGTTCGCAGAGAAATCACAAACCAGCCAGAGTGAATCTCATTGGTTGAAACTAGTTTTCTGACTGTTTCTGATTGTTTTCAACCAATGAAATTCGTTCTGACTGGTTTGTGATTGCTCTGCGAACAGGCCTAATAATAATACTTTTACCAAGATTTTTACTGTGTGAAACTTTTCTTGATTTGTGCACGTTTACAATTCTCTCAATGTTTGTAGGTTATACCTACCTATTTTTTTTATATTTACTGTTGTTTGTTTAAGGTTAAGGTTAAGTTTAAGGGTATGTTATATTTTATAATTGATCTTATGTTATTTATATTTTTTAGTTTTTTAATGTAATTGTTAAGATATTTATTGTATAAAAATTGCCACTTTAAAATACAATATGTATATCCTGTTCACAATCCGATGTCCACAGGTTCAGGTAAATTTATCACCTTTCCCTATCAAATAGCATTGAAATGTGATTTTACCTGTACCTACCTGTGGACATCGGATTGTGAAGGGATAATTGTTTTATTTTTCGCTATAAACATACATATAAATACATATGTGTGATGTTTATGTTTGCCATATATTTTTGCAACCCATCTGAACAGGTTAACCGAATACCCTAATAACACAGTAACATCGTAGAAACATTCCAGAAACATCCATCAGGGATAATGAAGACGTCCCTGGGAGGTCCCTATTTTCCTGGGAACATCCCTGGGACGTTGCAGGCAACAGCCGTGTCATCATTTGCGATTTCCTATAAACATCTCTCAGGGATGTTTCTAAGATGATGCGGGATGTATGTGATACATCCGGGACAGGTGTAAGAAACATCCTCCATATGTTTCTAGTATGACTTTAATAGGTGAATGAATTTTAGGATTATGGATTAAAAATTACCTAATTCAATAATTTTCAATTTTCGTTCTATTTTCTGGAAGTCAGATGGAACTTTTTCCAAAAAAAAAACAAAAATTGAAAATTATAAAATTAAGTAGGCACATCAGTTTCCAACATTATTTATTGAAAAAATAAGGTACATACCTACATACTTATATTAATTATCTATCAACTAATAATAACCGATGGACAATTTTGCCTAAATAATGTAGTATTTATGCCCTGTCATGTCATCGAAAACCATAGTTTGGCAGTGGCAGCATGTTGTAGTGGGGGAGTTCGGCGTTTTCTTTTTTTTTGGTGCTCCAATTTCATAAAGGTACCATTAACTCACCAAAACAACCACAGAACCAAAATCCAAAGTTCTTGAAGTACAATTTAAACTTGCACACCTAGAATGTAATCAACTATGAAAACAAAAAATAATTATTGGTTATTTTCTCTTACCTAATGAAGAATGAAGTTCGGGTTTTTAGGGGCTATTTATCAGAAAAGTTAGAAATTTCCTAACCGACGCCATATTGAAATTAAATAAACTAAACAATTGATAATTATGCGACGTTATCTTTCAACAAATAATCTTTCTCACCAACTAATAAGCACTGGTATGTCGCGGAGATCCTTTCGAACACAAAATGGCACAACTAGGTGTAGCGAAAAACCACAAATTGACAAATCCTCCACACGGCACGACGCCATTACGAAATAAAATTCCGCCCAACAACACAAGCGAAGCACACAGAACAACCCGTTCGACTGATTCTGCCCGTCTGCGCTGGCTGCGGCGCCGACGTGGCCGCGTGCAGAGGTACAAGTACAAATGCCCGAGCACGCGCCTGCGCCATACACTTCGGCTTCACGAATATTCACGATGTTTGAAAGTTCAAAAGAGAGAAGACTTTTATCAATACATATTTTATTTTATTTTATTCCAAGTTGTAAGTCGAATGAAAAATTAAATTTTGCTGTGCTACAATACAAAATTAATATTAAGTTCCTTATCTATATACATTACAGGTATATTATGGAATTTGAAATTAGTTTGTGTGTGTGATAGAGACATTTTCAGAAATCACACAAAATTGGCAAATTTAATACTGGGTCCTACCGGTCTGAGGTCCTACCTAGTTTTGTAAAATAATGTTAGCCATTTTTTAGGTGTAATAGGTATCTAAATTTTGAGAACAAAAATCTTTTTATCGATAGATATTTTCGAAAGGATGTTTCTAAAACATTTCAGGACAATCATCCTAGAGATGTTACATTACAAACATCGCAGCGATGTACCATTTATGTCGGAAACATAAGGACCTTAATGGTACATAAATGGGATGTTTCTGGCAGATCGGTGTTATTAGGGTAGGTACCTATCAAAAAGGTGTAAATACAACATTTGTATTTACATCTTTTTGATACCTACCTATCCAATCAACCAGTGCCGGTGGGGTGTAAAAATATATGGGAAAACCCTGTACCTACGTCCCAAACACATTCCTAAAAAGCTATACTAAATACGTACGTTAATGTACGTCCCAAATACGTACCTAAAAAGCCGTACTGAGTACCTACGTACCTAAATGTACGTACGTGGGACGCACTATTTTGTGGAAAACGACCGTCATAAAGTTGTCCCTCGTACGTCGGCGGGACCTAAAAAGTATGTCCGCGGACGTACTTTCGTCCGAAAAAGTACGAATTATGGACGTACTAAAGACGACTTGTGTTTGTTGGGGTATAATGACCCCAATAAATTTGTGTCAGAAGATATTTTGATGTGTGAAGATCAAAGCCAAATGACCCTAGAAACTATATTTTGTCGATGTTCAACCTTTATGAAGTCTTGGGACCTAAATAAACTGCAAAATTTATTTGTCCTTAGTCCTTGTAGGTAATATCCTTAGTCCTTGTCGGTAATATTATTTACCTACCCACATAACAGTGAAAGAACATTCATGTTCTCAGAATATTCCCTTAAAGTGCTTTTTGGAATGTTCTTTTAGGAATGTTTAATGAATATTCTAAGATTGTTTCGATTGAAATATTCATTTTTGGATGTTCTATTTATGTACTAGGAATGTTGCTTCTATGCACTTACCTGAAAGATTGTGCTAAGAATCTACTTTATACCTATAACATTATTTGAATATTGTCATACGAACATTATTATAATGTACCCTAAAAAATGTTCTTTCGGCTAATATCTCTATCAAGTATTAAGAATATACCTACCAAGTTGTGCTTAGAAGTTTATGTAGGTAGGTAACCATGATAGGAATATTTTCATATTGTTCACCTAATTATCTAAAGTACCTACTCGAAAATCTTGATTGAACAATTAAACAATAGCGCTCTACCTAGAACCTAACTAAAAATATTATAGGTATATTCTTTTTCTTTTGCTTTGTAGGACTTCCAAGAGAGGGAGCCACGCGCTATTAAAGATCTACATCTTGCCTAGCGTTTGAATCACCTTGGAGCCTGTTTCTCTCAGTTGGCGTGCTTACCGCGACGAGAGCTTAACAGGCTCGAAACCGTAGCTTTGGTTAAACACTTGTGTTTTCCAGAGAAGTTTTCCAACAACTCACTGCCTTTAATATAAAAGGACTGGAAGAAGCATTATTTGGAAGCGAAAATTAACATTCCAAGTATATCCCTAGAATCAAACAAGAATATTATGTCTAGGATGCATATTGAGAATTATACAGTTTGATTTTTTAAGTGTGTAACATATGGGGATTTTTTTTAGTAGTAGCACAACCCAAATACAAACAAGGCCAAAAGTTGGTGCATGTCTGATAATCATATTAGGTGCACTTGGAATGGTTGCAAGTCAAACATCATACAGGGTAGCTCAAACAATATCAAAGCTGTACTGTAAAGTACCCTTATTTTAGAAAATTCAGTAAAATGTTATAGAGAAAAATTGTTTGGAATTGAAAGTTATGCCTAAATACCAAAACATAGCCTCCTAAGATTTTTTTTTATTTTCTTTCGAAAAAAATCTATAATTTCTATATTTTTTTTATTTTTTATTTCCTCCCTTAATACTTTCAAAAATTAATTAAAATCAAATCAATTTTACATAACTTTGTTCAAATTCAAGCATATTTCTGAAATTGACTTAGATTTTTAATTTTTTATGGAATCACAAAATTCATGTTTGTTGCAATGATATATTCAACACAACTTTAAAATGTCGCAATTTTTTTTTTAACAAGTTAAAACATTACTAATGATAATAGCCATATTAAAAAAACTCTCCTTAAAGTGCAAAAGTTTTATTTTATTTAAGTAAATATTAGTAGAATTTTGATATTTTTTGAGTCACCCTGTATGCTGTTTGACTTGCAACCATTCTAAGTGCGCCTAATATGATTATCAGACATGCACCAACCTTTGGCCTTGTTTGTATTTTGATTGTGCTATTACTAAAAAAAATACCCATATGTTGCACACTTAAGTAATGACACTGTATATGTAGATATATTCTAAGAATATTTCAAGCATATTGGTGTAATATTCTTTTTAGAACAGAACTAATTACTTGGGTATTACAAACAGTATTTCTACAATCTTTTCTCAGAACATTCTCAGGACATTCGCAATGATTTTGGCGAACATTCTAGGCACATTCGTCCTAAAAAAAGAACATTCTTATTACATTCTAAGGATGCAAATTTGTTATGTGGGTACTTGTTGATAATTTAAAAATTAGTAACCTACCTTCAGGAAAAGCAGAGAAATGGGTAATATTAGCAATTAAAACACCAGTTTTACACCATCATCTATTTTTATGAATGCCACCTTTATTTGAAAAAAATACTGAAATTAAATAAGACTTAAGAATAATAAGACATGGAAAAAAATTAAAATTGATAAAAGGGATTTATTAAAAGAGGCGGAGCGTTTAAAATTAAACAGGCTTTATGAATTATAAATAATATTTAACTTCTCAGAATACATCATTATGAGTTTAGTTGATCTTGAAAGACCTTCGACAATTATTTAAAATTATCCTGTTCAATCTTGCCTCTTCAGGATATATCATGAGAACCTTAGACTATATTAGAAAGTTATTGCTGAGTTTACTGTGAAAATAAAAATTCTTCCAGAACAAAAAAGTAGTTGAGATTATTTTAACAATAATTCTAATTCTAATTAAAAAAAAAGAACCCAAAAAAACCTAATTCATAATACATGCCCCACAAATAATTTTTAAATTGATCAAAAAAATCTCATGTATCATAAAATACCTCCAAATCTTTATGGACTTCCTTCAAAATAACCGCAAACATTGATGGACTGTCCCGATCGACAATAGTTTTCATAGAAAAATCATTATATTCGACACTAAATTTTTGATTTTCCCATTTATGTACTAAAATATAATAAATTCTTGAGTCGTAGTTGTGATTAACATGGAAGTTACATTTAGAATGTGTATAGTCCACATCATAATCAATGATGCATTTAAAATTATCTCTTGTCGCTATAAAAATTTTGCCTTTTGCTTTAAGTTTATTGGGTTCCAATATTACATTCTCCCTATTATATTTTTGGCCATTAATGAAATGTTTGTCAAATACCAATTTAACATATTCTTCTCCAGATAAATCACGTTTCATGTTAAATTCGCAGTGGTCTTCATGCGAAAGCAGTTCGCCGCTTCTGCAAAATTTGTTACAACCAAATTTACAATAAAAATTTAATAAATAAAATGGGCTGTTGCCGGCATCAAGTAATTCCAGTTTTTGGGTTCCACTATTCTTTAGGCTTTTGGTAATTCCCCTTGAATAACAAGTACCACATACAAAGCAGCTTGAATCCTCGCTTGGATCATTATAGATTTTTTTATCGAACCCTGACGATGCGAAAAAGTTTTCACAAAAGTCGCAAGCAATTTGCAAAACAATTTTTTCGTTTATCAATTGCAAGTAATTGGCCGATAGCTTAAAGGTTCTCAAATCCATTTGCTCATATTTATTTTTGAATTCTTCATCCAAATACATTTTTCTTAATGTTTGTTTTTTATATTTGTCAGTTTTTTGTAAGTGAAATTGTTGAATTTGCATTAAAGGAGCACTGTGATCAAATTTTATATAACAACAAAATCTTGTAAGTTCTGCTGGAGGCACAAAAACAAATTGTTCCCGGTCTGATAAAAAATCAGGTAAGCCCATACACTTTTCAGGATTTGTTTCATGTATCAATTTATCATCTTCATCAAAAAACTTCAAAAACACTTGTGGAATTTTCCTATCATCAACAATAGTAGCACAGGTTAAGAAAAAATTGCGCATTTCCCATGAAATTGTTAAATAAAAAACTCTTGCAGTTTCATAGTCGCAATATAAAAAGATTTTGTTGGATATTTTTTGAGAAAAATCACTAATCACTATTTTTGGCTTGAGTAAAAGTTCCTTTGGATGTTCAATTTTAAAATGATGAATCAAATACAACACGGAACCTTCAATTTCTTGACATAACGGGCACTTAAGTACAATGTTCGAAACGCAATGGTTTTCATGTTTCTTAACGTCCTCATAATGCAACATTTTCGGGCAGCCTCCAAATCGATTCACACAAGGGAACATCAAGTTTTTAGCCAAAATTTCATAGGAAGAAACAGTACAATTATTATCATTAATACTGGAACAACGACCGCACTTAATTTCACCGTTGAAATAGTTTTTGGTGGGTGGAAATGATAAGTATTGCTTGCAATTAGAACACACTTGTTTGCTAAGGATACTTTCGGGTAAAGCGTAAGCCATTTTGCCTAAAAATTTAGTAAAAACTGATTAAGCAATAATATTATTTGATAATATACGTGGGAACTGATAAATAAAAATATAAATTCTTATCAAAACGAATATGCAAAGTTGTCGTTTCGGTGTGTGTACGACTACTACGACTGGAAAAAAAAATAAATAGTAAAAATATGACTATGCGTTCGCAGCTGATCGCCCGATGCACATGATACAAAAACAAAATACATATATATCGGTTTACCCTGCGTTCGATATTTTGATCTGAGATCTCCGAGCTTGAATTTAACGTTCGTTTATTTGAAAAGTGTACTCGGTGCACTCCGGTGCAGGCTCATTCGTGTTCGTTTCGTTCGCACAGTTGTCAGTTGTGCTTGGTTTGTGATCTACGCGTTCTGTGAATGGTTCGTGTTTTCAACGACAGCAAATTGGTTATTATTGTTAGTTACTTTTACTTATCCCATTGTTCTCAGTCTGCATTGAAAAAGTAAATGCGATGGGCGCAATGTTCTGCTCTGAGTGCTGCTGGCGACTGGCTCGGTGACGAAGACCACGAATTGCACGAAAGGGCCCGGGCGGCACGACCGCGAACTAACCACACGATTCACTGACAGCTGATTCCAGAATATACGGCTAAAGTCATGTATACACCACACCATACTTGAAACGGCTGCGGACGCACACAATAATTATTTCAAACTGAGGTTGTATTTCGGCGCTTAACATCCTGCTTTAGACTAAAGGGCCCCATACACTACGATGAAACACGACGGTTTTCATCGCCACGATGAAACACGTCGTTCAAAAGTATCAAGGTAACTTGGATAAAACATTGAGGTAACTATTTAAATTGTTTGAGTACATTATTTGAATAAATTTATTTGAATAAAAAAAAAGGAACAGTAACGAGTGGTATAGATTGCTGGGAAGCAAAAAGATCTATAATGCGTTTCATCTAATTTGAACACCGTTTCACCCTCGATTATTGTATGATATAAAGCCTGTTCCATTACATTATTCAGCTTTGCGACTCAAATTATTGTCGGCGTGCTATTTCGTATCAATTTGACAGATAAAGAGGTAGAATCTATATAAACTACTCAAATTAAATAATGACCACCTTTAAGAGCACCTTGGTTTTTATTAAATTTTGAATAATCCTCTGATAAAGTGACTATTTCTATTTACAATATAGATAGACAATTGAAGTGTGCACAAAAAAATTGAATTGTGAATGGCTATAAACGCTTTACCACGGTTATTCAAAATTCAATAAAAATTAAGGTGTTTTTAAAAGTGATCCTTATTTCGTTTTGACTAGTTTATATAAAAATTTATGCCACTTTTCGTTGTAATTTTATAACTCAAGAACGGGCTCACCGAGCCAAACCAAATGTTTAGGCTTTGTTCGGACTATTTATTAGATGGTTTATGATGTGAAGTTTGCACAAAATCGGTCGAACGGTTCTTCATTTATCACATTTTTTGTAATAAATGAATTATTCAATAAATGGAGGATCATTTTGTTAATGGGGATTTTGCTGTCAAATTGAAACTTTTTTCAGCGTTGACAGTACCAGCATGTTGTTATGTCATTAATGTGGTCATTTCATTACTTATTTTATTTATTTATGAAAAAAATTTACTAAGCCCGCATACGGCGCCATCTCTTATACCCGATACCAAGTTTATTTTGTATTTTGTATTTTGTATACCGCGCCATCTCTGATACCTGGAACGAAGCTCGGCATTGCAGATACAGTAGAAAAATGCTGCTCAGGAACTGGAGCTATTTCGAACAGAACTATTCCACTATTCCGATCAGATAGAGTGGCGCAGAAAGAGTAGATCAGACAGAGTAGTGCAGATAGAGTAGAACAGATGGAGTAGTGCAGTGCATGCAGTGCAGATAGAGTGAAACAGGGCTGCGCTGTAGATTTTTTTTTGTTTTCTTTACATTCTTTGAACATTCCTGTGCCTGAGTTTATTTATTTGGTGTTACACTTCACATGAAAAATGCCCACAAGCTGCCTTGAAAGGGATGATGTTAAATTTTAATTTTAGGTGACTTCTGATCTAGAGAGTAAACATTGATATTCTTCAACCAAAGCCAAATTCACCATCGGAAAAAAAACTGAATTTAATTCAGCCAATAGATACGTTAACACAACATTTAATAGGTATATTTAATAATTCAGAGGCGCTACGAAGTTCGCCGGTTCAGCTAGTATTTAATAATTCAGAGGCGGTACGAAGTTCGCCGGGTCAGCTAGTATAAGATAGGTAATTTGTGACTTCTGCGGAGTCTGGAATTGCATGGCCTGCTCAAAGTTCTCAACCTCAGAGGCTCAGGTGACCCGGCTGAGTATTGGAGAGCCAGTTATGTGGTGCCGATTCTTAAATCCGGTGACTCATCAGATGTGACTAATTATCGCCCATCAGTGCAATTCCTAAAGTTTTAACATTGAAAATGTTATTATTATCGCACGGATACGTAGTATAGGGTACCAAATTCGAAATTCTTGTGTTGCATTTGTCCCATACGTCACAAAGTCGATGTTGCCGATCGCTCGCAAAAGTCGCAAACAACGTCTGCGTAGATTGAGCGGTGTAGCCGTATGGTTTTTAAAGTCTTTGTTTCTAACATTAAAAATGTTTATCGCACGGTCACATAGGGATGTGTGCGAACTTTTGGACTCTGGAGAAGTGTATGAACAAGAACCTGGAACAAGCCAAGTGAGCTGGAACAAGTCGGGCAAGTGTTTGGAAGAAGTCCAGAGAGGTCAGAAAAGGGCTGGATAAGGTCTAGAGCAGTCTGTACAAGTCTGGATTAAGTCTGGAAAACTCTGGATAAATCTGGAAAAGACTGGAAATCTCTGGAAACGTCTGGAAAAGGCCAGAAAATTTCTGGAAAGAGTCGGAAAAATTCTGGAAAAGGTCCCAAAAGACCTGGAGATCATTTTCCAGATTCCGGATCAGTCTGTACAAGTCTGGATAAAGTCTGGAAAACTCTGGATAAATCTGGATAATGTCTGGAAAAGTCTGGAAATCTCTGGAAACATCTGGAAAAGGCCTGGAAATTTCTGGAAAGGGTCGGGAATTCTGGAAAAGGTCCCAAAAGACCTGGGGATCATTTTCCAGAATCCGGATCAGTGTAAAAGTCTGGATAAATCTGAATAAGATCTGGAAAACTCTGGATAAGTCCAGGTATTATCTGGAAAAGTCTGGAAATCTCTGGAAACGTCTAGAAAAGGCCTGAAAATTTCTGGAAAGTGTCGGAAATATGCCTCCAGTGCCCCCCCTGGATCCGCCACTGAGTTGCCTATCTATAATATAGGTTGGAGAGAGTGTCGTATTCCTTATCTATGGCGAAAATCAATAATCACTTTCTTTAATATTAATTTTGCTTGTGATTGATTTTTGTGATCTTTTATTCTTGTTTTCTCTGTGACTCTTTATATACACAGTGTGTAAAAAGTCCCGGAACAGTTAATTATTTTGAAAATAGTGCACAATATAAAAAAACTTCCTGTATAAAAGTTGAAGGTCTTAATAAAATCTATTGAAATAGGACTTATGTATTTATACAGGGTGGCCCAAAAAGTTGTGCTACACAAAACTTCATTTTTTTTTAATGGAATGATCCTTTTTTAATTACATTTTCTAATTCTTCTAGAGATTCTAAACAACAATTATGAAACATGTCATATGGCTAAACCCATTAGTTTCAGAAATAATTTGATTTGAAGGACATAAATACGATAAGTACGATATTACCTACATTTTGCATTGTTTCGAGTTGGTTCAAAATGGTCACCAGACCTAACGCCCCTTGATTATTTTCTTTGGGGACATCTGAAAAATAAAGTGTTTGTGACAAAACCTCCAGATCTGAACGAATTGAGAAGAAGAATTATTGAAGAATGTGCATCTATTAACCAAGAAATGTTACAAAACGTCATCAATAAATTTTATCATAACCTAGCCCATTGTCAAACTTGAAACATTTTGAACCAACTCGAAACAATGCACAATGTAGGTAATATCGTACTTATCGTATTTATGTCCTTCAACTTAAATTATTTCTGAAACTAATGGGTTTAGCCATATGACATGTTTCATAATTGTTGTTAAGAATCTCTAGAGGAATTAGAAAATGTAATTAAAAAAGGATTATTTCATTTTAAAAAAATGAAGTTTTGTGTAGCACAACTTTTTGGGCCACCCTGTATAATTATAAAAGTTCTATTTCAATAGATTTTATTAAGACCTTCAAGTTTTATACAGGAAGTTTTTTTATATTGTGCACCATTTTCGAAATAATTGACTGTTCCGGGACTTTTTACACACTGTGTATTTTAGCATAGTAACATTGTATAGTGTGTATAGATTGTATAGTATAGGAAGAACCTATGTAGAATTTTTTTTTTCTATTTTGGTGTCATATCGAAGTCTTTTCGACACTAAAAGTAGTTTCGAAAAGAAGCTCTTTGTGACACTCCTTTTTTACTCATCGGAGGTTGGTAACACTGGCTGACTGATGGCCATCGAACTGTCATTCGCGATAAAAAATAATAGAAGATTTCTATATTTGGCATGTATGGTTGCCAACCTAAACATATGAAATCAGGAAATATGAGAATAAAATTTCCAAGAAAAGTTTGTTTTTTTCAATTAAACAATACCAAAATAGAAAAAATAGTATAAAATATTCGTTTCATAAGACATTTTATCGCACTCGCCCTTTAGAAAACTCGCCTCCGGCTCGTTTTCTAATATAGGGCTCGTGCGATAAAATGACGTCTTATGAAACTTGTATTTTAATGTACTATTTCATGTTTGAAGGTTTTATATTATAAAGTACCTACCTACCTATTCAGTTGGATATAATCCGCCTAGCCTTTATTTTAAAGTCTCTCGATTTCCATTTACAAATTCAATCACATATTATTTTTGCAAACTAAAACTTTTTTCATCAAATTTCTATTTTCTGTAGTTCTGAAATATAAATTCTGATCTAAGACACAGTTTTATTGATCACATTAAAATTTCCTTATCTCTCCATTTTCCAGTACTTACATACGCACACTTTTCCCATCCGAGTGAATATAAAAGAGCTTAAAGTCTTTTACAAAAAAAAAAAGTTATTACCATGAAGCTTTTACTGCCTCCTTTTATAGTTAATAATGCATTTTATGCAAAAATGCACTTTACAGCTTTTAATGCAGTCTGGGAGTTATATAGCTCCTCCTCCAGAGGAGAGAGAGCTTTTAATGGAAAAAATTGTCGAGATTAAGTTAAGTTATGAAATTTTCATCATTTAGATTAAATTCCGAAAATTCGAAAACTAATAGTGATAGTGTGAATCCGCCAGAATATTCCGGGGCTCATTAGGGACTCAAACGAATCTGGAATGGGCTGGATTAAACGTGGAACATGCTCTAATTAGAGGAGATTTGAACGTAGAGACGGTTCGTGACTTTCAATAAATTAGAGATGAGATG